AGAAATCCCCGGATAACCTAGACAACTGGCCACTCCTGTAGCCCTGCTTCTTATCTGCACCCTAACCTAGTTACCGCTCTTTTGCTTTAAATTCACCAATAGTGAGTCTATAAAACCCAAGGCACCACACACTCAGTCCAACAAAAGCAGAACCCCAGATCCAAGCGCTCTCCTCTCTCTCTCTCTCTCCCCCCCCCTCCCCATGACCTTGTGTGGCCCTCAGGCATACCCTATACCAGTGATGGCGAACCTATGACACGCGTGTCAGAGGTGACACGCGAACTCATTTTTTTGGTTGATTTTTCTTTGTTAAATGGCATTTAAATATATAAAATAAACATCAAAAATATAAGTCTTTGTTTTACTATGGTTGCAAATATCAAAAATTTTCTATATGTGACACGGCACCAGAGTTAAGTTAGGGTTTTTCAAAATGCTGACACACCGAGCTCAAAAGGTTCGCCATCACTGCCCTATACCCTCCAGAACCTGTGAATAAATCTTTTTTTTTCTTCAAAGCACCCCGACAGTTGTTGCTGAGGTGTCTTACAATCATAATAAGAACCATAAGGCCCAGTCCAGCCACAGAACTGACTCCAGGTGGGGAATGTGTGTGGGGGCTGCCACAAGCAGTGCAGGCCCAGGTGAGGGCTGCAGGCGTTCCAGCTGACAGCATCACCATCCATAGGCTGAGACCAGCACGGCACGGGTGTCCACGTGCATGCCTGAGAGGCACCTCACAGTGCAGGAGAAAAACGAAAATGGGGATCCCCACCACTCACTCCCATGTCGGAGAGAATGTCTCAGTAGTTCCAGCATTCTAAATGCCAACCTGATGTTTTCCATCATCATTATGAGACTGTATTTGTTAAGTTAACCTAATGTAGTTCATTTACCAGTCTTCTATATTGGTTTATGAGTTTTAAATACGTAGGTAAATGAAATGTGGACATACATTTATATTACTACCCCAGCCCCACCAGTTAGGGATAGTTCTAAGTATTTTAAAAAAATAGCAAAAATTAAAAATATCAAAAGGTGGCTCTGTAACTCTTTAATATCATCCCTGTTCTTTATGCTGGGTTTTATACCAACCACATACACACATACCTCCAATATGAATTATGAAAAATAATATAAATGTAGCCACTTCAAAATGGAGTTGGAGCTGCCATCCAAGAGGAACTGGCTTGCAAGTCTGACTCCTCAAATCTTTGGAATGTTAAAAATGAACAAAATAACCTTTGGACTGGGCCTGAAAGCAGGACTATACTCCAAATAACTGTTTGCAAAAATAACTAAGAGCAGATATGAAAATTAAAGACACTCTTTAGAATTGGCATCACTATGTTAGTTTATCCGCACCTACAGAAATTCCTTCCTTCTATTCATGTTATTGATCCCCTTCCCTTTCTCATAAGAACCCCTTGCCTTCCCCTCCTAAGGAAAACACAATTTGGATTTCTGCCTGAATAAATGCTTCCTGAATAGCTATTCTTTTGAATCTCAAATAAATGCTTGTTGCTTTTCACCTTGGCCTTTTACTTTTAGGTTAACATATCATACCTATATATATAAAAGGCTAAGCGACCATCAAACCAGCCGGTAGGTATGATGCGCACTGACCACCCTGGGGCAGACGCTCAATGTAGGAGCTGCCAAGCTGCAGTGACTTGGCAGCGGCGGTTCTTGGGTGACACACCCCGGAACCAGAGAGGAGAGAGCCCAATTCCGGGGTGCATCACCTGAGAACCACGCTATCGTAATCCGGGACCCCTTATGGGGTGTCAGAGAGCCAGTTTTGGCCTGATCCCCACAGGCCAGGCGGAGGGACCCTACCTGCCAGAGAGACCCTGCTCACTCTGCAGATGCCCTTCGAGCCACATGGTGCTACTCTAGCTGCAATCGACCAGGGAGGGACCACAGGAGGTTGGCTCTAGGGTGTGTCCAGCCAGTCTCACCCAGTTCCACCCCTGGCCACCTTCCAGCTAATTTCCTTTCAATGTGCACAAATCTGTGCACCAGGGCACTAGTGTAAACACAATCCGATATGGCTGCAACTCTAATGTTCCTGACCAAGGCATTACTGATATCCAGTAAAGATATATAGTACACTTCCAATAAAAACGTACATGGTGGAAGCAAAAAACAAACAAAAAACCCTTAGTATATGGTATAACTATGTAAAAAATGCCAGTGCTTTCAGACCACAGTCTGCACTGACTTTACTGCACACCAAAGTGAGCGTGACAAAAGTGTGATGTAGAGTCCACCAAGATCTTGCCTAGGCACTGCCTGGGATCCCCAGCATTTAAAGAGGTAACCCTAATGCCACTGAACTCCAGACACTTCGCATAATCCTCAGTATAATCCACCTGCATCCTCTTCCCAATGCCCTGAACCAAGGATGTCTTCTCAGTGCTGCTGCCCTTCTTTTCAAACCTTTCACTCAGTTCTCTAGATATTTATTCCACTATTTTTTAAAGACCCTACATCCTCCTCCTCCTCAGAGAATACCCCTTCACCTGCCTGGTCCTAACTAGAATCTGGCTCCATCTACAGGACAACACATGCACTGCAGTCCTTTCAGACTGAAAGAATGAATGAATTTTTCTAAACCCTATTGTTACTTCTAGGATACATCACTTCCACTTGCACATTAAAAACCTTTCCTCCTTGACAAAGAGATTCTAAAATCTATCATTTCTACCTTCCTTTCCAGCCACTCTTCCCTCTCCACTCTCCCTCCCTAACCCATAAGCCCATATACTAGTGCTGTTATTCAAAATGTTGTCCACAGACCACCTACTTTTTGAAACTGGTTCATAAAGAAATAACTATGGAAACTGAAAGTAAACATTTAGAATTTTACTACAATTTGACATCAGTGAACTTCTCGTAAACTTCTTGGTCATTTTTTAGCAAAATTGTTGCCCAAACTTTTTTGTAATGTTTTTATTGATTTCAGATAAGAAGGAAGAGGAAGAGAGAGATAGAAACATCAATGATGAGAGAGAATCATCGATGGGTTGCCTCCTACATGCCCCTAACCAGGAATTGAGCCCGAAACCCGGGCATGCCCTTGACCAGAATCGAACCTAGGGCCCTTCAGTCCGCAGTCCGACGCTCTATCCACTGAGCCAAACCAGCTAGGGCTTGTTGCCCAAACTTTAATGTGTACATAAATAACTTGGGGAATCTTGCTTTAAAATGTGGGTTTAGTAGTCTGGGATGGGGCCTGAGATTCTGCATTTCCAAGGAGCTCTAAATGATAATGATGCGCTAGTTTACAAGCCCATTCTGAATAGTGAGGCTTCAAACAACTTAATTAGGAGGTTTTCTCCAACAAGCCTTGCTATTTCATATGCTTGTATTTAGCTACTGATTCTCAAATTTCACAAACCAAACCTCTGCACTTACCATTGCCTCTGTTTAGAGTCACCGCTACTTACAGGCTGTGCAACCTTGGGAAAGTTAATTGACCTCACTGTGCTGTAATTTCATCTTTAAATGGCGATTAATAATCCTAAATACCTCATAGGATTGTTGTGAGGCTCAAATGGGTTAATTAATGTAAACTTAGCATAATGCTTGGCTGTACTAGCCATTTTAGTTTTTTAAATTTTTATTCTTGCCTTATTCACTTAAAGTCTTGTTCAAGTATCACTTCTTTGAAGCTATTTTGACATCTTTCCATGCCAGAAAGAGGGAGCCACTCACGCTGTTGTGTTCTTACTATACTTTATAATCTAACTCTACTGCTGTATATTTATTTACATGTTTCTCATAACCAACTGTGCACATTTTGAGAGCAAAAATTTCCTTCATCCATTTGTGTATCCTTAAGACATAGCATGTTGATTGGCAAATTTTTTAAAACTGACTGAGTTTTGCCCTGGCTGGTGTTGCTCAGTCCTTAGAGTATCAGCCCGCACACTGAAGAGATACGGGTTCCATTCCTGGTCAAGGGCACGTAAGTACCTGGGTTGCAGGCTTGATCCCCAGCCTGGATCAGGAGCGCATGTGGGAGGCAACCAATCCATGCTTCTCTCTCTCTCACCTCACCTTCCTACCTTCCACTATCTCTAAAATACAATGGGAAAAATATCCTCAGGTGAGGCTTAACAACAAACAAACAAAACAACTGACTGAATTTTGATATGAATTATTATGAATAACCTTATAGAGCTTTCTAGGCTACAGTAGGAACAAGAGTTATAAAATATTATCATGAAAACCATGAAATGTCATTATATTTTGTCGGAAAATTTTTCTCATGAAGAATCATTTTAAACCACTTATCTACGTCTTTGGACTTAGATTTCTGTGACAATTACAAATCACTTATTTTTTGGTGAGAAAAAGGAGAGGAAAGGAAATGTGAGAGCTATTTTTAACAAGAAGTCTCTGGGGGTGCTAATTTAAATGCATAAATCTTGAAATTAAATTTTGTAGATGTTTTCTCCATTTTATATATTTTATCAATATATAATATAAAATCTGACTAAAAATACACTCTAGCATAGATAAAAGGAAACACAATCCGGCAAATAATCTGATGTACTCCTTTCTAAGGTCCTTTATTTTTATTTATTTATTTATTAACTTTTTTTAAGGTCCTTTATTTTTGAAATAAATGTAGACAAATACTCATTTTTGAAGGAAATACACCCTCTGAGTAATATGTAGGGAAAAGCATAAAGCTCTGTCCCCCTCCCCCGTCCTTCGGAAATACACTACACGCTCTAGAAACTAGTTTTCTAGGAGAAGAGGGGAGAGGTTATGAAATAAGATTCACTGGAGAGAAGCCATGTAAGACTACTTTCCCAAGAACTGCCTGCACATGTTTCTGAATGTTTCATTATGGCGTCTTGCCTTGTCCTCTGCCCCAGCAGTGGAAAATGGTACAGGTAGATTCATTTAGAAAAGAAAGGATAATCCACGTTTTTATGTTCTTTATGCCTAAGGCTTTTCCAGCTTGGAAGCCTGCCTTTCCTTACCTCTGTTTTTCAGTGGAGGCAATGTAGGGTGTAGATCTTTATTACATTCATTGCGTTCTGTGCAGCATTCAATTGATCTCCTTTGGTGAGGAATGGGAGTGTCCTAAAATTAAACCCGAAAAGCTATTAGTGGGTGTCCCCTAAATGTCATAGGCACATAACCTCAAACTTGAGAAATTAAGACTATTTAGGTAACTTACTTGAAATTCTTGCACAAACATGTTGAAAATATTCTTTTATTTTAGGTCATTTCTTTTAAATTATCATGTATTACCTTACTGCAATGTCTGCATTTCAACAAAATTACTACTACATTTGTAATAACGGGTGTGCACAGTGTAAGCGGATGAAGAAAGCTAGGCATAATGCAGTTAACTAAATTGGAAGGTCTAATGAGACACTAAGCCAGAAATTAACAGCAAAAATAAACATCATATTTCATTTCAAAATGAAGGGAGAATTGGCCCAATGAAAATGCTCAAATTATTTTCCAAATCACTAAAAATAGGCTAATGAAATAAACAAACAAACAAACAAAAAACCCCACACAATTGCTTTCTCTTATTGAAACTTGACTGTTTGAAATCTAGTGGAATCAAGTTTCTTCCTTACCCGGCACTGAAAATCTGAGCCTTCTAGTCCCAGACATCCCGACGTGATCACAGGCATCCCAGAATCATCTTCTTCTATCATCGTGAAGCAATATCCATCTGTGCTAAAGACCAAACAGGCAAGGAGTGTGAATGTAGGGATGTGTGTGTGTGTAGGGGAAAAGGAAGATGCTCATCATTTGTTTCATTAAAGTCAAGAAGTTCAATGATCATTACAAGTTACAGTCTGTTGAGAGAGTCCCGAAACTTCCTTTCATGGAACTTGACTTAATTATCAATAAATATTTTGTAATAGTTCCTCTGTACAGAAAACTGAGAAAGAAGTACCCAAAATTTCCATATCACATGTACAATTAATAACCACATATACCAATTACTAAACACTTATTTTGGTCCTTGGCAAGAGATTTCTCTTTTTTAAACAATATATATATTCTTTTATTTCAGAGAGGAAGGAAGAGGGGGAGAGAGAGATAGAAATCATTGATCAGATGCCTCCTGCACAGGGATCGAGCCTGCAACCCGGGCAAGTGCCCTGACTGGGAATTGAACCCAGGACCCTTCAGTCTGCAGGCCAATGCTTTATCCACTGAGCCAAAACCAGCTAGGGTAGATCGATCTCTCTCTCTCTCTCTCTCTCTTTCTCTCTCTCTCTCTCTCTCTCTCTCTCTCCCAAATGATTTCAGAGAGGAAGGGAGAGGGGATATAGAGATAGAAAACATCAATGATGATAGAGAATCATTGGTTGCTACCTCCTGCCCCCAGAACAAAACAACTCTGAGGAAGGTGGCACTATTCTTACCTTCTATATAGGAAACTGAGGCTCAGAGAACTTGAGTAATTTCTCAAAGGCCTACAGCTAGTGAGAGCATGCACAGCAGAGGTCTGAACCCATGCAGGTGAATGTCTATGCTGGCTCTCCTTGTTCTGAGGTTGTGAAATAAACTCACCTCTTACCAAGGCACACAACTAAACTAAGGAGGGGTAGAGTTGGAATCAGCACAGCAGAAGTGAGCTAAGATTCTGCCTTTTGGTACTTGTGCTTCGGGGCTGGCCTGTCAGATGAAAACATCAGGTTTTGTTTTCAGCAGTCTGGACTTACATTGGAAGTGGGGTAAAGTTGGACAATGAAATGAAGGGGTTTTAACAAGATCATTGTTAATGGTTTTTCAGCTCATGGCACACAAAAACTAATTACTAAAATTCTGCAGCATGCTGATCTGACAAAACCAAACAAACTATAATTTTGACTCATTCACACCGAACAGCTATTGTTGTGTTGGCTGTTGTAATTTTTTTTTTAATTTAATAATCTAAGGGAAAAGAGGTCAGGGCCCTTGACTAAATAGTCAGGTATCACGTGTTTTAAAAATTCTTGTGGCACACCAGTGTGCCTCTTGCAGTACGCCGTTGAAAATCGCGGGCCTAGAAAGTAAAGAAACGATATATTCTTTTTCTGTATGGGTTTTTACATTAAAAAGAACTTTCACTTATTCTATCACATTTAGTCCTCTCAACAACAATGAGAAGTGGTTATTTCTATTTCACTGACGAGGAATTTAAAGCTATGAGAGTCTAATAAGCAAACAGTTACAGAATCAGGCTTTTCATCAAGAATCTCTTGCTTCTTTCCCACACATTTTTCCACTGTCCCCTCCTGGGACTAAAAATGGAAAACAAGAACTGTTATATATAGAAATATTTATAAACAAACATTTCTGTCTTCACGAGTTTGTGCGAGGCATGCCAGCAGACTCCCAAGATAAGTCATAGACCCCTGCTGTGTGAGCTACGAAATAAAGGCCTGAACTCTGTCCCCATCTTTTCCTCGTGTACATGCATGCTCAGTGTCCAAGACAGACATGACAGCACAGTCCTCAAAGGTCAGGGAGGCAGGCTCTGAGCATGCTATTAGCCATGGTTTCTGGGTTGGTCTGTTCTGTGTTGGTGGCAGCAGCATTCCGCCACACCTTCGCCCTTCGGTTATCATCAACACCCTTAGTATTGCTTACTTGGCTTATTAGCCTCGAGTGATCCAAAATACCTCAGTTTATGAAAACTACCAGAGCCAAGTTCCAACATACTAATAAATGGCTGGGGAGGGCCAGTGATAAATCTCCCTTTTTTAGACCAAGGTCAACTGCATGAATATTGTTGTGGAAGAAAGAATGCCTCTGAGCAGCCCATGCTTAAATTTATTTGGGGCATTTCAGCCCATACACTGACATTGCTATGACAATCTAAAGCATGTAAATACTGAAGGCGATAAATACAAGAGCTGTCCCTTAGAAATTTACTGTAAACAATATAAGCAAACAATACCCATGTGTGTGTGTTTTATTCCTTTCCTACACATTTAGATTATGTGTGCAACTTCCATTTCTCATTGAAAGTAAAATTCAGGAATTTTCAGAAATAAAGTCATCTTAATTTTCTGACCGTAGGAATTCATAGAGACTAGAAAAGCTGATTCAGTATGTTAAATCCAAAAAGACTAATTACTCCTTAATCATGAGTTCCCTTTGCTCAAAATCTGAATACATGGAAATGCACTTTTAAGTGTCTTATAAGAATCAAGAATGAGAACAGAAAAAGCTGGTAAACCTGTTGGTAAGTTACTGGGGACAGTGTCCTAGGAAATATAAAGAAACATCAGCGAGGGTAATTTTAAGCTTTAAAAACGCACTCCCGCCCAGCCAGTGGTTAAGCATCAACCCATGTACCAGGAGGTCGCCAGTTCAATTCCCAGTCAGGACACATGCTTGGGTTTCAGGCTTGATCCCCATCAGGGGGCGTGCTGGAGGCAGAAACTGATGATGTTTCTCTCTCTCTCTTTTTTCTTCTCCCTCTAAAATTAATTAAAATATGTTAAAAACACATTCCCTTGTCTGCAAAGAAGGGTGGGAATCCTATATAATAAAAGGCTAATATGCAAATAGACTGAACGGCAGAACAACCAAACAACCAGTCACTATGACATGCGCTGACCACCACATGCGTGTGCGGAACATGGCGGGCACTGGCTGCAGCAGGATGGTGGAGCAGGTGAGCAGGGGGCACCAGACCAAGGCGGGGTGCCAGTCGCTGCCATCGGGGCGATCCTCTGGTGGTTACTGGAAATTCTTTGCTCCTGTGCACTGCGGTCCCGCCCGGCGCTCGCAACTGCTGTCAGCGCTGGCCCCGCTCGCACCCACTGCCAGCGCCGGCCCTGCTTGCACCCGCTGCTGGTGCCTGGCACCAGTCCCGATCACTCAGCGCCCTCAGTGGGTGCAAGCATTGGCTGCCGGCCCCGATCGCCCCTGAGGGCTTCTCCACCTCCCCCTGCTCCTGAGGGGCCACTTGCACCCACTGCTGGTACCGGCCCCAATCGCTCCATGCCATCAGCGGGTGTGAGCGGGGCCGGCTGCCATCAGCATGTGGGAATGGCAGTGGCAGGAGGGGGGGCTGCCAGAAGACAGGGGATGGGGGGGGGGCGCTACAGCAGGAGGGGCCAGGCAGGGGTGCGGAGGATGGGCCGAGACCCACCCCTGTGTCTACTGCAGCCTCGTAGCCCACAGTTCCTTTCAAGGTGCACGAATTCGTGCATTGGGCCCCTAGTAAAATTATAGAGAGGGGATGGAGAGGGAGGGAGAGAGACCCTGGAGAAAAGAGTCAGTGTCCCACAGTCATCAAGTAAGGTAGGAATCAACTATGTTGTTGGAGTAAGAGCAAGAGGGTGAGAGAATATCAAGTGCATATTATCTGCAACAAAGCAAAAATAATTTATAAGCTTCTCATTGAAACTGCTAGCTAGAAAGGAAACTTGAAGGTGCTCTATGTATTGTTTTATTTTACTGAGTACAGTGTTTACAAGGTTTACCCAAGCCTTGGTCCTTTTAACTCTATTCTTATAAAAGCTTAAGAATTACTTGAGGACTTTCAACTCTCCAGCAAGCACAAATGTAATCAAAGCTATGCTCCAGTCAGAGCGGGACAGTCCCACCTCCCACTAAGGGATGGCTGCTGAATGGCACAAGAGGCTACTAACTCCTCCCACTGGCCTGTCTGGACATCCTGCCGTCTGGCTGCCATGTTAAGCTTAGTTTTGACATGTGTTCAGTTATTGCCACATCATTCCCAGAGTGTTGAAAGTGATCACAACAAGAGATGAAGATCATGAAGAAAGCAAAAGCAGCAATCATTTTAGACAAAATTGAAAGTGGCGCTACGTATACAGGAATGTAGGATCAATCATTTGACTCCAGTAAGTATTATAAATTTAAAATACTGCCCCTGCCTGGCTGGTGTTGCTCAGTGGTTGAGAGTCAACCTATGAACCAGGAGGTCACAGTTCGATTCCCAGTGCAGCCGGGTTGCAGGCTCGTTCCCCAGTAGGAGACGTGCAGGAGGCAGCCAATCAGTGATTCTCTCTTATCATTAATGTTTCTTTCTCTCTCCTTCTCCCTTCTTCTCTAAAATCAATAAAAATATATTTTTAAAAAACGCTGCCCCTGAGGTATAGGCAAAGAAAAATAATTGACAAAATGGAACAAGAGTTGAATCCCAAAATGATCAATACTGAAATGCCTCTCCATGTAATGTTAAGTAATGAGAAAGCAAAGCATTTGAGATTTTCAGTCACATGAGGTCAAAGCAGTGATAATAACATTTTTGTTACAGCCCTTGGATGGCACTACAGATTCAAACTCCTTGGATCTGCCCAATATTCCAAAGGTAAACAAGTGTCTGTAACATCTAGAAAGATCATCAGGGAATAACTTCCACAAGAGATGCTGGGAATGCCCAAGTGAACTTGACTATCAATAAAGAAAGGGGTACACCTGGCTTCAAGTTCTGAGGGAACGAGTGCTACTCTTTTTTGGCGGGTATGCGCCCAGAACCTGCAAGGTTTGGCTCTTCTCATTTATGGTCAAATGCATCATAAACAGCCTTTGGGACCCCAATTTATCATTAGTTCTTACTGGACAGTTGGGAATACATATGACTACTACTGTCCCCTTTCTCTGGCTTTTCCTCTGAGGCGTCAATATACGAGATGCCTTTTTATTACTTTATCCTCAAGGACGTGTAACTCTCATATGTCCTTCTGTCCTTCTCTGGCAGC